TCAAACCCACCAGCCACTCCTTGGAAGGAAGGTTGGGCAATCCTACTTCCGTAGTGATACTGCCTCGAAAACCCAAGGAGGGGTTGCTATGAGTTGGGCCGACTCGACGGCACATAACAACAACAACAACAACTTTCAGAGCAGCACTAGGTAACCAGAACAAGGAGATAGCCCAAGATACTTAGTGAGGCATAACTTGCCTTGGGAAGGCAGTGACTGGAGGAGGGTTCCCTCACTTACCTGCCTAATGGTAAAAAATAGAAATGGAAAAAACCTTGGAGGTCCAAATATACATGGCCATCCCTAGTTTCCTACTCCTACAGCACTGTGGGAAATGGGCCCCTGAATTTATCTCCCTTCAAAACTGTCTTTGGCCTAGGTTAATCAAAGTTCCCCTATGTAAATGATGGCATCCGAAGAGTATAAAAGAAAAAGGCCAAAGGAATCCTTTGTTGTTAGTTTTTGTTGTTAGGTGCTGTCCAGTAGTCTCACTCATAGCAACCCTATGTACAGCAGAACAAAACACTGTCAGGTCCTGTGCCAATCTCACAATCCCTACTATACCCAAGCCTATTGCTGCAGCCACTGTGTCAATCCATCTCGTTGAGGGCCTTCCCCTCTTTCACTGACCCTCCACTTTACCAAGCATGATATCTTTCTCCAGAGAATGGTCCCTTCTGACAACATGACCAATGTTGGTGAAACAAAGTCTGGCCATTCTTGCTTCCAAGGAGCATTCCAGCTGCACTTCTTCCAGGACAGACTTAATAGTTCTTTTAGCAGTCCACAGTACTTTCAGCATTCTTCATCAACACCACAACTCAAAAACATCAGTTCTTCTTTGGTCATCCTTATTCGTTGTCCAGCTCTTACAAGCATATGAAACAAAAGAAAATACCATGGCTTGGGTCAAGCGTATCTTAGTTTTCAGGGAGACATCTTTGCTCTTCAGCACTTGAAAGAGGTCTTTTACAACAGATTTGCGCAATGCAATACATCTTTTGATGTCTTGACTGCTGCTTCCATTGGCATTAATTGTAGAACCAAGCAATATGAAGTCTGACAACTTCAATCTTTTCTCCATTTTTGTGATGCTGCTTGTAGGTCCAGTTGTAAGGATTTTTGTTTTCTTTGTATTGAGATGTAATCCATACTGCAGACTGTATTCTTCAGTCTTCATCAGTAAGTGCTTCACGTCATCCTCACTTTCAGCAAGCAAAGTTGTGTCATCAGCGTATCACAGGTTGTTAATGATTCTTCCTTCAATCCTGACACCATGTTCTTTCTATAGTCCAGCTTCTCAAATTATTTGCTCAGCATACAGATTGAATAAGTATGGTGAAAGGATACAACCCTGATGCACTCCCTTCCTGATTTTAAACCATGCAGTAGCCCCTTGTTATGTTCGAATGACAGCTTATTAGTCTCATGAGTACAATTAAGTGTTCTGGAATTCCTGTTCTTCTCAATGTTATCCACAATTTGTTATGATCCACACAATTGAATACCTTTGCATAGTCAGTAAGACACATGTAAATATCTTTCTGATATTCTTTGCTTTGAGCCAAAATCCATCTAACATTAGCTATGATACCCCTCACACCATGTCCCTTTCTGAATCCAGTTTGCATTTCTGGAACTTCTCTGACTATATACTGTTGCAACCATTTTTGAATTAAGATTTTACTTGAATGTGATATTAATGATATTGTTTGATAATTTCCACATTCTGTAGGATTACCTTTCTTTGGAATGGCCACAAATATGGATCACTTCCAGTCAGTTTGCCAGGTAGCTGTCTTCCAAATCTCTTGGCATAGCTGAGTGAGTGTCTCCAGTGGGGCATCCATTTGTTCAAACATCTCAGTGAGTATTCTGTCAATTCCTTCAGTGCAGCTTTGACTTCTTCCTTCAATACCATTGGTTCTTGATCATATGCCACCTCCTAAAATGGATGAAGATCGACCAGTTCTTTTTGGTACAGTGACTGTGTATTCCTTCCATCTTCTTTTCATGTTTCCTGGATCATTCAACATACTGCCCATGGAATCTTTCAATGTTGCAATTCGAGGCTTACATTTTTTCCTCAGTTCTTTCAGCTTGAGAAATGCTGAGCGTGTTCTTCCCTTCTAGTTTTCCAACTCCAGGTCTTTGCACATTTCATTACAATAATTGACTTTGTCTTCTCAAGCTGTTCTTTGAAATCTTCTGTTCAGCTCTTTTATCTTGTCATTTTTCCATTTGCTTCAGCTACCCTCTGTTTAAGGGCAAGTTTCAGAGTCTCTTCTGACATCCATTTTGGTTTTTTCTTCCTTTCTCATCTTTTTAATGACCTCTTGCTTTCTTCATGGATGATGTTCTTGATATCCCAAAATTCCTCTGGTTTTCAGTCATTGGTGTTCAGTGCATCAAACCTATGCTTTAGATGGTCTCTAAATTCAGGAGGGATATGACCAAGTCATATTTTGGCTCTCATGGATGTCTTTTAATTGTCTTCAGCTTCAACTTCAACTTGCATATGAGCAATTTTGATGGTCTGTTCCAGTCAGCTCCTGGCCTGGTTTTGGCTGAAGATAAGAAGCTTCTCCATTGCCTCTTGCCACAGATGTAGTCAATCTGATTCCGTGTGCTCCATCTGGTGTATAGCTGTTTGTATTGTTGAAAAAAGGTAATTGCAATAAATAGGTCGTTGGTCTTGCAAAATTCTATCATGTGATCTCCAGCAACATTTCTATCACCAAGGCCATATTTTCCAATGACTGGTGATTCTTCTTTGTTTCCAGCTTTTGCATTCCAATCACCAGTGATAATTAACAGGAGTCCTTGGGTGGCTCAAATAGTTAAGCACTCAGCTACTGTTTTGGTTACCTAGTGCCATTCTGACAGGAATATAGCACAAATGGGATGGCTTGAATAAACGGGAGTTTATTCTCTTACAGTTTTGGAGGCTAGAAGTCTGAGTTCAAAGTGCTGGGGTCTAGGGATTGGGTGAAAGCCCCTCAACCTTGGCCTTCAGCTCTGCCTCTTGCTCCCAGTCCACTGAGCTAGAGGCTTTCTTCACTCAGGCAGCTGCTGGCTACTGAGGCTGACAAACCCAAGGTCAACAAGTTAAAAAGGCACAGTCCCAATGTTACCAAACTACATGGCAGGCCATTGATTCAAGTCCATTAAGAGCCTGAGGATCAGCAGACAACATGGCAGGCTCCTGTACAACGACTTAGCTACATGCAGGATTCGAGCATGCCAAAAGATAGAGACCATTCCTAAAGATTCTCCCTTATATACTGGGAACAGACCACATCCCTAAGGCAGCTACTTAGCTGTTCACAGTAGATGCCACTATGGAGTTGATTACCAGTCTCATCCCGGGGAATACTACATCCAGGCACCCAGACAGGTTAACCACCACAGCTACTAACCTAAAGTGGCTTGTTTGAGTCCACCCAGAGGTGCCTCCTCAAAAGAAAGGACTGACAATCTGCTTCTACCAGATAATAGCCACTGAAAACCCTATGGAACAAAGTTTTACTCTGACATGCACAGGACCACCATGAGTTGGGAGCTGATTCAACCGTAATGATTTTACTGGCCCCAATATAATTTAAATCTCAGGCTCTGGGGTTAGACTCTCTGTGAGATTTTGGGAAAGTTACTTTCTCTTCCTGTGTTTCAATTTCCCCATCAGCAAAAAGGAGGAACAACAGTACTTCCTACATTAGGGTGCTTTGAGAGGTGAGAGACCTAACACTGGATAAAAGTTGAGCTTAGGCTGTAATAAACCAAACTAAACCAAAACCATTGCCAGGGAGTCAACTCTGACTCATAGCGACCCTACAGGGCAGAGTAGAACTGCCCCATAGGATTTCCAAGGCTATAATCTGTTTTTGTTTTCTAAATATTCTTTATTTTGTTGTTTTTAAGAATATACACAGCAAAACATAAATCAATTGAACTGTTTCCACATGTACCATTTAGTGACATTGATTACATCCTTTGAGTTGTGCAACCATTCTCACCATCCTTTTCTGAGTTGTTCCTCCTCCATTAACATAAATCACTGCCCCCTAAGGTTCCTATCTAATCTTTGGAGTTGCTGTTGTCAATTTGATCCCATAGAGATAGTTCTTCAAAGAACACAGTGCTCAAGGCAGACTTATTATTTTTTAAATTACTAGGTAAGCTAAACTATTGCTCAGTTTTAAGATTTCAGGGGATATTTTTGGTTTAAGATTTAAAGATTATTTCAGGGTATTTGTTTCAGGGGTTTATCCACCCTCCATGTACACAGAAAGTCTACAGTCCATGAGAATGTGATTCAAGGCTGTAACTGGCTGTAATCTCTATAGAAGCAGACTGCTTTATAGCTTATAGGTTCATACCTTTGGCCTGGTTAGCAGCTGAGCACTTAATCACTGTACCACCAGCACTTCTAGGGCATAATGGGCACTCTAGAAGAGTGGCTGTTTTTATTATTGTTCCTTGCCTTGTTACCTTTTAGGGTCACCACAGCTCCAGGGTAGCCTTAACCTTGGCATCTCAAGAGGGTCAGCAGCAGCTTTGTTTTCTAACCATTTCTGGGGACAGAAATTTGCTGCTGCCCTCTCTGCGCTTATAACTGAGACAGCTTTGCTTGGAAGATCTGGCCACTTAAAGCACTTATGTTTGCTGCTTTGAGGATGCCAATAAAGGTTATCACTTAATTGCTTTAAGACATCATAAACTCTCCCTTAGGAAACAGAAGCAAATGGAAGTGTTAAAAGTTCTGATATACTGGGTCTATCTATATGTTACTAGCTCTGCAGACACACACAATAAAGACAATATGAATATGAAAGGCCTGATACACATGTCAGTGTGCATACACATTGAGGGCTCCACTGTCACTTACCTTTGAGAGGCGACTCATTCTTTCCTCATTGTCTTCCAGGGTGCGCAAACTTGGAGGTACATACCAAAAGCAGACATTGGTGTGCTGAGGCTACAGAGAGAAAGATTCATATCCAGCAATTGAGACAATGCCACTCAAAAACTCAGTTATTGAGTCCACTGAGACTCATAGCAACCCCTCCTTGGGTTTCCAAGGCAGTATCTCTATAGAAGTATAGAAGTAGATTGCTCAATATTCCTTCTGAGGAGTGGCTGGTGGCTTTGAACTGCCAGCCTTCTGGTTAGTAGTCAAATGCCTTAGGCACTATGCCACCAGAGCAACTCCAAGGACATTTGAATTCTCTGTATTTGACACACTCAAAATAGAGTTCGTACTTTTCAATTAGTAATTGCCTGGGGAGAGCCCTATTTGCACATTGTATCTTTGTTAAGTTTGATTTTCACTTTAGCTTAGAAAAGCTACCCCCAGCAACTACTGCTTCTCCTTTGTAGTAGCCCCTCTTACCTGGAAAGTACATTGTTATTTACATCTAAAAATATCTATGATAAACACAAGTTGGTGAGACTCTTTTGGGACTATAGACATCAGAATGCGTACCTTTCCATCAAACACCATTTCATATCCTTCTCGGTTTTTGATGATATTGTATAAATACTCTGCCAGCTCCAAACACTTGTCGATCTGTGCTTCAAACCCAGTAGTCCCCTGATTAAGAGAAGAACAAAGTTCGTCAGACAGGCTGTGGCGGCCAGCGAGGTGTGAGGTATGGCGATGAAGTGATTTCTCTGGAGACTCAGGGTCATTCTGCCACTTCCATCTCAGCTCTCTTCTGGCACCTTCCTCACACCAGGCTACAGGCTTTTCCAGCTATTCTTTTCCTTTAATTCTCTCCCCCTGAAGATGCCTTTGTTCTCTTTCACTTCCTTAGTGCTCTTCCTGAGCCTCTATTCCCAAACTCATTATTTTGATTACTCAAGGGGAAAATTTGTCTCTGCCTTTCATTGGGGTAATCATGGAGTCATTAACAATAGGGGGGCTCAGCTAGCCTTTCCCTAAGGACAACCAGCAGCAGCACAGACTTGCCGGAGGATGCCCAGTCCATCCCCACCCATCGAGTAAATGGTCCATTCCCAGACCCCCTTTGTTCACCAAAGTATCTCCCTTAGAACAAATACAGTAAGTGTTCAATGAATATGTGTTGAACAAAGCAATAAATGAATCTTAGGGAGCCACAGATGCCTTTCTTACATTAGCTTGCCACTCTGCTAAACTCATTAGATTTCTTGGGGATAAATGATTCTCATGTCTGTAGTGGTGAACATTATTATCACAGAGGCCTTTTAGTTTCCAGCTCTGGGAGCCTGGATCCAGACTTATGAAAAACAAATACAACAGCTTTGGACTGGAGTTGTTTAACAGAAGTCAGTACACACTAGGGACTTACTTGGCAAAATGGCTTTCTTCCTATGTCCTTTGGTGTTTACTGAGTTCTAAAGCTTAGAAAAGCAAGCACTTTAGAACTCGACTGATGTTGTTATGTGCCATGGAGTCAGATCCGACTCATAGCAACCCCTCCTTGGGTTTCCGAGGCAGTATCACTACGGAAGTAGATTGCCTAGTCTTCCTTCTGAGGAGTGGCTGATGGGTTTGAATCACCAGCTTCTGGCTAGCATTCAAGTGCCGTAGGAGCTCTGGTAGCTTAGTGCCTAAGGCACCTGACTGCTATCCAGAAGGCTGGCGGTTCAAACCTACCAGCCACTCCTCAGAAGGAAGACTAGGCAATCTACTTCCGTAGTGATACTGCCTCAGAAACCCAAGGAGGGGTCGCTATGAGTCGGGTCCAACTCGATGGCACATCATAACAACAACAACAACAGGCACTATGGTACCAGAGCCAGTGAATAATTCAACATTGAAACTAGAGGGAGCAATTGTCATGGAGATAAAATGGGCCTGTTTCCTATTCACACAGGTCTCATCATCTCAGGGAAAAGGAGGACACAAATAACACAATGACTTTTAATATATGTAACATAATTAAGAACAAGCTACTTTTTAAAAATCTAATGGGATCAGAAATTAATTTCTTTGGAGATTGCTCCTCTAGCCCATTGGCTTAAAGGAGGCCAGCTGATTCCTGATGATCGTAAGGATGGGCATGGGATTAGGCCAGCACCTGTGCCATGTACTCCACAAGCCTATGACTACCAAGGAAATTAAGGTTGGTTTGGACTGACCTGGCAGTCGGGGCCCACTTGGGAATGGATCCTAGGTTGTTGTTAGGTGCCGTCGAGTTGTCTCCAACTCATAGTGACCCCATGCACAGCAGAACGAAACACTGCCTGGTCCCGCGCCAGCTCCATGATCTCTACTATACTTGAGCCCATCATCGCAGCCACCATGTCAATCCATCTCATTGAAGGCCTCCCCCTCTTTTGTCGACCCTCCACCTTACCAAGCATGACATCTTTCTCCAGGGAATGGTCCTTTCTGACAACATGACCAAAGTAAGTGAGACGAAGTCTGGCCCTTCTTGCTTCCAAGGAACATTTCAGGTGCACTTCCTCCAGGAAGTCTGGCCCTTCTTGCTTCCAAGGAACATTTCAGGTGCACTTCCTCCAGGACAGATCTGTTAGTTCTTTTAGCAGTCCATGGTACTGTCAGCATTCTTCGCCAGCACCACAACTCAAAAGCATCAACTCT